ATCCATCCATCCTTCCATCCATCCATCCATCCATCCATCCATCCATATATCCATCCATTTATCCATCCATCCATTTATCCATCTATCTATCTATCTATCTATCTATCTATCTATCTATCTATCTATCTATCTATCTATCTATCTATCTATCTATCTATCTATCCATCCATCCATCCATCCCTCCATCCATCCCTCCATCCATCCATCCATCCATCCAAAGCAAATGCCTATAAACCATGCAGACACAGTACCAACTGCCCAGCAATCACCTGGAACATACTTGTAACAGCCTAGCAACCACTCAGAGCCCCTAAACAACTGCTTTTGAACCAGATTAGAACCAGCTACCCTACTGTAGAATTAAGATCCACATATATCCATATTTAGAAGCCTAGGAACTGGAGGTGGAATTCTGCGATTTGTTGATATATCATTCAGCCATAAAAGAAACCACATAGCAACACCCGAAAGTACCCTATCAAAGATCTAGCAGCCACCTAAAACACATAGCATAGCAAAAACCACCAAGAACACAGTAGTAACCACCTAGAAATTGGCCTGAATTGGCCCCTACCAACAACCTAGATTGCAACGCAAATGCTTCGAAATGCTATAAACCATCCTTGCAGAACCATCTAACAACCAGTAACCACCAAGATTAACTCTACCCTAGCATTCTTGTATAGAAGTCCTTTTTTCCTTCTTGTTTTGCTCCTAAAATGACATTATTGACAGCTTTACATGAGCTTCAGTCAAGCTGAAAGCAGCGTCTGCTATTTTTATACCAAACCCTGACCGTGACTGTGACCTGCCGCCTTTTACATAAACCTCGCCGTCGTTATCGAGCGACTTTCTCACAGATGGTTTAATCCTAAACTAGCCTCTCATCAGTCTGACTTTGTTTTCTTAATTTTAAGTGGCGGTCCGTCGACCCGAGGCAGAATGGTAGCCGATTTGATCGACATTACCCCCAGTCCACTCGAATGGTTAATGGTTATTCAGGAAGTGAGGTTTGATGGCGGAGCTTTTGATGTGCAGGCAGGCCTAAGGCTGTGGCTGCCTTTGAAACGTTGCCCCTTTGCTGATCTGCAACATTGAGCGGCCAGTGTTCCCAACAGAGGTTTCAGGAGTTCAGGCATCATTTGTGTTTATGCTTTTATTCATTGATAAATCACTGATATAATACTGACATTTGCACACATTTGCATAGAAGTTGTTCTCTTCAGAGTAGGTTTTTATATGATCAGATACATGAGTAATTACAAATTAAAAATATACTTGAATTTATAATCTGAGTGACGTATACAGTGGGATAAAATTTAGTAGCCTTCTAGACCAAGCAATACCTCCTTTGACATTTTGGGTGCTTTCACACCTGTGAATCGATTCAGTTGTTCCGAAACAGAGATTACAATTGTTACATTGTTGCTCTTTGCTCTTGGAGCGGTTCGCTTTCACATTGCAAAGTTTCTAATCGGACCAAAAGAGCTAAAACAAGTCACGTGTGAGTAAAATCTCCTCACTTTGGTCAGAGTGTCAGGGTTTATTTTGCAGCGTCCCGCTCAGCTGTCAGGAGAGGTGGTGGTTTGATGATTATTGAAAGGGTGCGCACGCGCGCGATGTGTCTGAGGAGAGATGCGGTGGGGAAGGGTGAGAAGGGTGCGCGACGTAGCCTATTTGAGGACTGGGAGGGAGACGCGAGATTACCGGGAGATCATCACTCGTCTGATAATTATCTCTTCATATAGCCGTATGCCTATTAAATATCCATAAAACACTGTCATATAACCGCGCTCGGATCGGATCGCTTTCTCACTGTAATCGAACCGCTCCAGGGTTCGTTTCAATTGAGCCGAGACCACCTCATTCAAGCGATCTCGGAGCGATTACTTTGGCGCGGAACAGAGCGCGATTGCCCTGTTCACATATGCCAAACGAACCGCGCTAACTGGGCAAACGAGACACGTTCCGAAACAAAAGTGTAGGTGTGAAAGCCCCCTTAAAAAGCAACTGTCTGGACCAGTGTTGGGTGTATTTAGTTACAAAGTAACTAGTTACTGTGATTGGTCACACTTTACAATGAGGTTGTATTCGTTAATGCATTTACTAACATGAACAAAAGTAGCCAGGGGGGTTCGGATGGTTGGAAGCACCCCTCACTGACAAAGGTCTAGAATTGTCCTGTGCATGAGCTCATTTGTCATATTTTAACTGCTATGCCATCTTAAATAGTAAAATAACCCATTGAAAAAAAAAAAATTAAGACCAAGTGGAGTCCTCTGTCGCTTAAATCAGTTTTGGCCAGTGCACACAATTATTTTTCATGAGTCCAACATTCAGCTGTGCGAGAAAACACACAATCTGATGAAGTAAAGTCATCTCTTGCTATGCTACCGTATTGTTTTTCAATAGAGAAAATATTTTACAAGTAACTTTTTATCCTAAATCTTGAAACAAAAAATTATCAATGAAAAGGTGTGAAGCACCAAAAGCGACTGATATTAAAGTGAATCTGAATACTATTTTGGCTATTGTTCCTATCCATAATTTTCAAATGTACTTTTTTTTGGTTATGATGACCATCTGCCAATGTATTTCAGCTCGAATAGTGCTTAAAATGTCACTAAAATGCAGCATTTAAATCTCATTATTAAATAGTAGCCTAAATGAGTCCTGTAACTGCAAAAATGTCCACTTTTGAGAAAAAAGAACCATCCCTTTCACCAGGCTGGCTACAGGCCAGAATAAACAATAAACAATACATTTATTACGGTATTTGTTCATGTTAGTTAATATTAGTTGTTCATTGTTAGTTTTTGTTAACTCACTGTGCATTAACTAATGTTAACAAGCATGAATTTGAAGGTTAATAATGCATTAGTAAATGCTGAACTATGATTAATAAACACTGTACAAGTATTGTTCATAATTACTTTATGCTGGTAAATGCTTTAGTTAATATTAACTTATGAAACATTGTAAAGTGTGACCCCGTTATTTAATTACTTTTATGTTATTACATTTTATAATTATTTTTTTTAGATAATTTATTGACACTTACTTATAACGTACTAAACTTTAGCGTTTTATAAGTATAATGTACTTATTATGATACTTATAATGTAATTGAATATTTTACTTTAGTGTAAAAAAAAGTATTGAGAAATGAGCTCATGGCATTATAAGGTTTAAATTCACAGAAGCAGAGTAATCTTAGTTGATCTTTTTAACATTTATAGACCATTTTGAGGGATGTAAACAAAAACAATGGTCCCAACGTATTTCCTGTTTTACATTTTAAATTTATATTGCTTCTGAGAACTCAAAAAGAGTCCCATATTGATAAATGATGTTTTGATAGCTGTTGTAACATTAAGTTATGATTGAATTGTTCTTTGTTACTGTTATGAAATAGTTTGATTACAAGCAGGAAATGTTCAAGGGTCAATGACATGACCACATTAAAATGGTCTATTTGTCCTTAATGAATTACATATTTGAATAATTACTGTCAATATGTGGTATGAAATATATGGTGTGATGTTTAAAATTTGAGTGTTTTAATTTTATTTCTCAAATTTCACATTCACATTGAGTCAAATTTGAAGGATTGAGAGTTTGCAGTCATTTTTTCTGTCTATGAAATATATGTGCTTTGTTAGTAAAGGGTCAATTAGTTAAATTATTGAGCTACTAAGTTACATTTCAGACAAATTTTAAAATTAAATTAAATGCAATAACTTTAATGATGTAATTAGTTTTCAATTACAATATTGAAGTAACTTACCCTACATTGGTCTGGACAATAATAATAAAAAAAAACATTATGTATTTGGAGTTTCCTTTCCAGATGCAAAATTTATGGGAGAAGGATGATTTGCTAATGTGTGGTTTCTAAATTTGCTAATATTTATGGCATTATTTTCTTTCACAAAACAAAAATGCCTTAACCGGTTTTGTGCCTGAAATGCTATTATAACCGTTGTTTGTTAGAAGAAGAGCTTTTCTGCACTTACGTCTATTTATATGGAATGCCAGAGGACAATGTTATCTCAACATATCAATTACCAGGCCACATAGTTTTCAATTTGTGCTGCTCACATGGGTGATTATGGAAATGAGCTGCTGCTGCTGCTTCTGTGTTTAGCAGTGCTCAAAACTATCCAAAATCCTCACAAAATCCTCATGTTCTGCATGATTAGGTCCCTAAACAAAACAGACTAATTTAGACATCCATCATCTGACTTACTAATTGTCATAAATTTGCATATTTTGCAAGTATACACACAGCTGTATAAATACAACTGTATAAGTGTATATATACAAACAATCACACAGTCTAATATTTGGTTGGACCGCCTTTAACTCTGATTATGTCACGCATTCGGCATGGAATCATTTTAGTAGCCTTCTGCAATATCACAACATTTTATCATATCAACATTTATATTATTTTTTCACCAAACTCTTGTATTGATCATGGACGTATCAAACTGCTGCACAGATTATTCATCCCAAAGATTCTTAACAGGGTTAA